CCTGATTATAAAATGTAGTATTAGATAGGTACCTCAGAGCCTCTAGTCCAACCTCTGTGTTAGAAGTGGCCCCAAAGGGGCACCTGGGTGGCTCAGTGGGTTAGGGCCTCTGCCTTCGGCTCAGGTCATGATCTCGGGGTTCTGGGATCGAGCCCCATTTGGGCTCTCTGCTCAGCGGGGAGCCTGCTTCCCTGCCTCCACCCCGCTCTTCCTGCCTCTCTGCCTACTTGTGATCTCTCTCTCTCTCTGTCAAATAAATAAATAAATAAATAATCTTAAAAAAAAGAAGTGGCCCCAAAAGCACAACTGTGTATTTACTGATTGTCACACAGTTTGCAACAGAGTGTGAATTAGAATCTAGGTCTCCTTGTTTCAGGTCCAAAAGTATTCCCACTACAACATGTCTCACTTCTAACATAATCCAACACTTTCATCATTTCAGCTCTAACCACAATCTTAAATGCCCCTCTTTAATCTCCATCTGCCTCTTGGACAGTGCCATGACCTCAAACAGGTCCACCACTTAATTTTCTAATCTTATCTTCCCTCACCCTCAGACTATTTCTGTTAACCACGCTGGCACTCTCCCAAGCAGACTGTAAATCTCTCTCTACCCACCAGTTTCCAAATTCTGTTGGTTTGCCCTTTAAATTTCTCTCTCATCAGACTTGAGGAGAATTGCCATAAAAAAACCAAGGGTTATGCCTAAAGCTATATTAGGCTGGAGTTAAGGGTAGGAAGCTGGATGGGTTTAGGCTTTATAGATGACAACCTTCCTCACATCCAATATACTCTTCATTTAACACAGGATCATGATTAAGAGCAAGAACTCTGGAGCCAGTCGGCAAATTCCCTGCTCTGCCATTAGTAGCCCTGTCGCTTATTAGCTGTGTGACTTTAGGCAAGTTTCTTCATCTCTCTGGGCCTCAGTTTCCTCATCTGTAAAACAACCTTCCTTATATGGTCATTATAGTGATTAAATTAATATACACAGTGCTTAGAATAGCGCATGGCACCAAGTAAGCATTATAAATATTAACTTGTTATCACTATTGTTCAGAAGGAGATTCTCTTGGGTAAGAGAGATAACAGAATCTCTGTGGGGGTTAGATTTTCTAAAGACCTTCTCCCGAAAACACTGGTTAAGAAGTACTGCTCTAGGCTAGCAATCCAAAACTACTTCAGGCACTGGCAAAGTCATCTTCAGATGCAAGCATGGGGAGCAATCCCATTATAATTGATTACAGACCAAAAGTTGTAAAGTGTCCACAGAAACAACTTTGTTGGCCCATACTGTTCTTTAAAAGGAAACAGGGGCACCTGGGTGGCTCGGCTGGATAAGTGTCTGCCTTTGGTTCAGATCATGATTGGAATGGAGCCCTCTTGGGATCAGGCTCCCTGCTCCGTGGGGAGCCTGCTTCTCCCTCTGCCCCTCCTCCTGCTTGTGCTCTCTTTCTTTTGCTTTCTCTCTCAAATAAAGAAAATCTTAAAAGAAATAAAAGGAAATACAACTATTATAACATATGGTAGGCTTCTTTTGAATACACAGAGCTTGGCCCATATCATTTTATATCCAGACTACTTCACAAACTTACATTACCTACCTGGCCCTGAAGACATCTGAATTTGCCACCTCAGTTCAAGTCCCTAAGCTCCTTTTTAGTACTTACATTCTTTTTGGGGGGGGAGGGAGAAAGAGAGGGAGAATCTTAAGTAGGCTCCACCCCTAGCACAAAGCCTGATTCAAGGCTTAGTCCCAGGACCCTGAGATCACGACTTCAGCTGAAATCAAGTCAGACAATTAAAACGACTGTGCCACCCAGGCACCCCTCAGTACCAATATTCTTATCCTCAAGGGGCTATCACCCCCCAAACCCTTACATGAAGGCTTCTTCTTTACTCTTTGGTTTGAGGATCACACCGGAACTACAGTTATCTTGTCTGGGATGATTTTCAGGGTACGGCTGTGAGAAAGACCGAATAACTTGACTCATGCAGTACAAGCCATCAATTATAGTTACCTGCAACCTACAAGAATCCATATTCCAAGCTCTACTATTCTATTAAAACAAGAAACTTTATTTTTCCTAGAGGAACCAGGGAGAAAAAATTTAAGTCATGATTATAAAAAAAAAATTTTTTCTCCTTTAAACTTAAACAGAGCTTAAGACAATAACTGGTTACATCACCTTGATCAGCTGTTTTTTAAATTCAGTTTTCCATTGGGAAATGATAACATGCCTAATATTGCTAGGCATGATGCAATACTTCCTTTGTTTTAACTAAAACATTATTATAAAGTAACTACTTTTCCTAGAAAAAAAAAAAACAGGGAAGAGGTTGCATTACAGAAATGTTCATTGTCTCTCAAACCAGATACAATAGTTACCTCTAAAAAATGACACCCTGGAAAGAGTTCAAAGTGGCCGTCCAGGTGTTTTATACATTAGCCTCCCTTGGAGCTAATCAGTGCTAGTCACCCTATGCCCTTTCTATAGCAAAGGTCTGACATAGAAACTCTGAAGACTGAAATCTGAACATCACCTCTGATAAGATCCAAATGGAAGGTGGGGAAGAAGAGGACTAAAGGGGAAATAAGAACCAAGCACTAGAGAGAGGAAAGGAGTTATACCTGTCAATTACTGCAAAGCCTCTGTGGTTCTCAGACCATCAATCAATCAATCAAGCTTGTGTCAAACATGGGTGTGTGTGTGTGTGTGTGTGTGACTTGAAATGTTTCTTTACTTGGATGATGGTTAAGATACCTGCTTTGGAATAATCTATTATACTGTACAATATATATTTTACAATTGATGGTGTGCTTTCAGAGGCTTTACTTTGAGCTGATAAAGTAACAGAATAATTAGATGAACTGAGAGAAAGCAAAATCATGGATTAAATTCAACTACTATCTTGCTCTGTTCCTCAACAGTTCCTTTTGTGATATACTGCATCTGATGTAAAAAGATACGGATTATAATGGTAACTAAATCAAATTTCTAGGCCTACTAGCTTTTTGTGGGGGTTTGAGGGTAGGCTGGGGAAAGCATGTTTTCATAAAATACATGCTTACATTCCTCTATTAAATTTTAAATGACCTCACCAATTTATCTGTCTTTTGTGCTTCCAATCTTTGTTATTTCTATCACAGATCTGTTGATAATGTATGTGTTCTGAAACCTTCTGCCCAGGAATACCTGCTTTTCTCCCAGCCGCTGTTGGTTTTTAGAATAAGAGATGATAAAGAATATTACTGGACATCAAAGCTAGTATTATCTATTTTTTGACCTCCACTGAAATTCAGGAACATCTAGAATATGGACTTCATTATGCAAAGATGAATGGTTACCAGCTCCAATACTGACTTGTCTAGGAACAGTATTTGCAGAAAGTGAATTCTGTTGTTCAAGGTTTCAGAGGTTTAAGCCTATAACTTCCACCTGCAGATCTTATGACTCATGATTTAGGGTAATGATTATTCAGAGTATTTGGGATGGGAGATGAATATAGAGCAATTTAATAATTATTATACTGACAGATACCAGTTTTATTTATCAGTTATTTTACTATCTTCAGATTAACATTTTCAAAAGGGTAAAAAAAATGGGCCAGCCTCAGAAGACAAGAAAAGCAGAGGAGTGGGAAAAACAAAACAAAACCAAACCACTGCAAATACACAAAAATCTAAGAAATGCAGAACGCATAGTGAGAGCTCAATAAATTCCAGTTGAATTGACTTTAACGGAGAGCTGTTTGAGCTCTACACCTCAGTGCTCAAACCGCAGGTATCACACTGCAATTTGTCGGTTTACAGCTGTGCTGTGGGTACCATCTGAGGATCCAGAAATGATTAGTTTATGCAAAACAGCTACAACCCCGCAAACCAGGCACTCTCCATGACTTCAGCATGTAGATTTTAAAAGTCTTACACCGCTCTGCGAACATTAGCGAACTGGCAAATATTACCGAGCAAATGGGACCTAGATTTCAAACAAAGACAAATCTGGAAGGCCACAAGTAAACGGAAGGTGAAACTGGCTCACCCATTCTGTTGGCCAGGGACTTCGTGGAATCCGCTCAACTTCTCTTCCCAATAGAAAAGGTATTATTAACCCTTTGGGAGGTTATAATTTTATCATCTCGTTGGCTGGGTGGGTGGGGCCACAAGTCAGAAAACTTGTTCGAGAAATCACACAATGTTTAATCCCATCTTCGGCGGGGATTACAGCCAAAAAGCTGTAAGTCCCTAAAACCCCTGAAACTCCCTAACATACATGCTTTCTTCCCAACCCCTGTACTGAAGTTTAAGCCGAAGCCAGAAACTACTAGTGAAAGATTCCACCATGTACCAGGCACGGTTTCACTCACCAACCTTCACGCAACTCTGTAATACCCGAACTGCAAAGCCCATGTTGCAGGGGTGACTAAGCCAGCGAACTTCACTCTCCGGAAGGCTACCACCTCGCACTCCAAGCCCCTTTTTACCCGGAGTCCCCAGGAGTGCATACCCGAGAAAAGGAAATAAGGAGTCCAGGTCTTCCCTCTCCCAGAGAGGACAGGCGGATGCCTGGAAGTTCCACGGGCCACAAATTCCAAACTTGAAGATTCCCTAATCCCTACAGTAGCGCCCGGCTGGTACTTACCGGCACGTTGTTGACACCCTGTCCTTTGGAGGCTATCAGGAGAATTTCCCTGAAATCCATGTTGGCTGAGGCGGAGACACTGGGCCAGGCTTTCGGAAAGAAGCGAAAGTACGCCTTACCGAAGCACCCAGCAACAGCCAAGTGAACTGCCTGGCCCACCCCTCTCCCACCCCTCCTCAACACGACCACTTCCGGCGCCTTCCAATGCCGTCGGCCCGCCCCTTTTCCTCTTGCGGCCTATATCCTTTCAGGCCCGGCGCTCCGCTCGCGAGTCTCCGGCGCAACTTCCGCTTTCAGGCTCCAGACGCGTAGAACGTGATACGTGGCTGCTGGCGTTAGCTCGGAAGGGCGGGACTAGGCCCTTCATCGACCAAGGAGACGCGGCCTAGTGAAATGAGGGGTGTGGCTAAGGGAGAGAGCGGCTTCCCTGGAGGCCGGGGCGCGCGACCTGATTATCTCGGTGTTCCTTGTGAGCTCTGAGTAGGGTGAGCGAGGGGTGGGAGGGTAAGGGGTTACTTACCAGGCTTCGGTTCGCTGGGTGTCACGGGTGGGCGCTCAGGTCCGGAACGGCGGGGCCCCAACAGCTGAGCCGACAGGTCTCGAGCAGGGGGTTTCAGTTACAGGTTTCTAGGCGCTCGTGAAGTTGCGCAGGCGCACACGGTACGCACCAGTCCTCGGTGTTGGATACACATTATTCATCCCGTCCTGGCACACGGTGTGTGCTCACCTCCTACACAGATGCATGCATGTCATGTGTAGATGCGCAGGCTTAGTGCTTTTGTCTCATCTAGTTAATAAGCTTCACGTAGTAGATGAATGAATTCTTTGTATACAGACCCAGTCTAGACAAAACTTGGCGCACTGATGAAACATACATATATTTTCCATATTAATTGGGAGTCCAGTCTCGGCTTCCTTTTAAGAGTATCTGGGCCCTGTAAAGTCGTCTCCTTCAGTAAAATACACTAATTAGACCTGGGGTGGGAATAAGCCTCGACTGGCTGCTAACTAATTGGACGATCTTTTCAGTATGATGGAAATGTTCCCAAACTGGATCGTGGTGATGATTGTGCTGTAAATTTACTAAAACTCATTGTACACTTCGGTGAGTTTTGCAGCATGTAAATTATACCTAAGTAAAGTTGTTTTAAAGTATTAGGCAAAGCTGCTCGGTCTTACTCTTTACAACTAAAGTTTTAATGCTGAGCTGCGGCCTGACTGCATGTCTTCATTTAAGGCTGCCCCAAAACAGACCCAGATGAAGACTTAGATTGCTGGAAGACCTGGAATTCTCAACCTTCCTATTCCCTCCAAAGAGGCCAGCGTAGCCTACAGCTCACTTATGCTATACATTCTTTTCAGATACATGCCCACCTACTTGAAGTAGTTCTCACTTGCAGGAGGCCAACTCTACAAATATTTCTCCATCACGATCACAGATTATGAAGAAGCTTGAGTGTAATGTACTGGAAAAGCTAGCAGATCTTAGGGGGCCTCAACTGTAAAAAAAATCAAAACTAAGATTTTTGAATTTCCTTCAAGTGATTCTCTCTATTCAGGTAGGGTCATCTTTTAGTGTCTTCTGATTGTTCTTAGGATAAAGACAAAAATCTTAATCCTAACTGTAGCTTTTAAGGACTGCCATGATTTGCCCTGGCCCACTTCTGTAACCTCATCAGCTCCACATTTTCATTCCCTTATTTGTGCCAAGCTCTCTTCCACTCCAGGACCTTCCCCCTTTTTTCTTCTTTGCCTGCTCTGCTCCCTCTAAACTTTGCTGGGCCAGCTGTAACTCATCCTTCAGCACCATGGCCTTTGATGAGTGGTTAGCTGAGTTTAAGCCCCACTTCTGTTGATTTCTAGGTTATTGTTTGACTTTAGTCAGGGCTTGACTGTACATCAGTTTAATCTATAAAATGAAAATAACAGTGTTATTAATAGTTATTAAAAGATTACTGTAAAATAATTCAAGTAAGGTTAACCATGGCTGTTACAGGCTGAGTTGTCTGCCCCTAAAATTCATATGAGATCCTAATCCTCAGGACCTCCCAAGTGTGACCATATTTGGAGATAGGGTCTTTAAAAAGATAACTAAGTTAGAATGAGGCCATTAGAGTGGACCCTAATCCAATGTGATGGGTGTCCTTATAAGACAAAGAAATATGGACGTAGACAGGGACAGAGGAAGACCTTGTGAAGACACAGGGAGAAGATGGCTATAAGTCAAGGAGAAAGGCCCCAGAAGAAACCAACGCTGCTTACACCTTGCTGTCAGACCTCTTAACCTCGAAAATTGTGAGAAAATAGATTTCTGTGGTACTTTGTTGTGGGAGCCCCAGCATTCTAATACACTGGCATATGCTGAGTATTCAATAACTGTCAGGTATTATTTCTCAAGGAGGCATTTCCTGAACTAGTTCAGTACCCCTTTTGTGAATTCTTCCAGCTCCCAGTGCTTTCCTTTATGGAATCTTGCACAGTTTGTAATTACATATTTGTGCTTTTTCTTTCTAACTTCTTTGTTCTCTCATGCTAGATTGTAAGGTCTATGAGAACAGAGACCACACCTATATTACCCATTATTATTGCCATCACCAGCACAGTTCCCTGCTCATATACATAACAATGTGATGCATATTTGAAATTTGTTAAGAGAGTAGATCTTAAAAGTTCTCATCACAAGAAAAAAAGTGTTGTAACTATGGTGACAGATGTTAAACTAGACTTACTGTGGTCATAATTTCACAATATATACAAATACTGAATCATTATGTTGTATACCTGAAACTCATGTTATAGGTGAATTATACCTCAATAAACAAAGGAAAAAGACCTACCATCAAAAATACCTCCAGATTTTGGGACCAAATTAATGAATCTTTAAATGAAAATCCTTCAATATTCAATATCATAATAGCTAACGTATATTGAGACCTGACTATATACCAAATGCCTGACACCTGGATATCATCTGATTTAATCACAAGTTCCTATAGTAAGGCACTTGTTACTATTTTATGAATGAAAGAAACTGGACTAATATTACACAATTAGCCAACGGGAAGCCAAGACTATCTGTGAGACATTAGCCACCATGCTAGCCCACCTCTTTATATTTCAATTATTCCATTTGAACCAGTATAAATATATACACATAAGAGCATAATCTAAAAGAGCTTAAATTAGGTAACTAATGCATAGTTACTCAAAATCATCAACAACAACAGCCAGAGATGGGAGTGAAGTAAGGAATGAGAGGGAAGGCACCGTTTTCCTGTACCCAAATAAAAGAAAATGTATTGGGCTCCTGGGTGGCTCAGTGGGTTGATCTTCGGCTCGGGTCGTGATCTTGGGGTCCTGGGATCGGGCCCCGCATCGGGCTGTCTGCTTGGCGGGGAGTCTGCTTCCCCCTCTCTCTCTGCCTGCCTCTCTGCCTGCTTGTGATCTCTCTCTCCGTCAAGTGGATAAATAAAATCTTAAAAAAAAATGTATTATTGAATTCAGCAAATACTTCCTGAGGAACTACTGTGTGCCCAGCCCTACATACAATACAAAGGAAAGACCCAGCCCTTGCCTGGTTAGAGCATTCATTCTTACCGAACACGAGTAACAATGATGTATTATTCACTGCATTAGGGTACAAAGTACTGGGGATAGGGTTGACAGATTTAGCAATAAAACAAGATGCCCAGTTGAATTTGAATTTCAGGTAAACAGTAAAATCCACTAGAAACAATCGTCGTTTATCTGAAATTCAAATTTAACTGGGTGTCCTGTATTTTTCCCGGTAACTGGAGAAGTGATAGAATTCCAGTTAGAACAGAAGCAAAGACAAGAGAGGCAGGAAAGCACATAAAAGGACTCAGAGAACAAGTTGTGGATGTATTTAGAAGAAAAAATCAGGAATAGGGATAGGAAATCAGGTCAGAAAAGTAGCTGAAGCCATGTTGCGAAGGTCTTGAGAGCCAGGAGGGAAGGAGGAAGAGGAGCTAGTAAAAGACCAGGCAGAAAGGCAGGTAGAGAACCAAAGCAGGAGAGTGCAATGTTCTAGGAAGCAACAGAGAAGACCTCCAATGAGGAAGGGACAAGCTAATAGGTCTACGCTTCACAGGTCAAATCCTGCGAGGAGGTTCAGTAGGAACAGGACTGTGAAGGTAATGAGGTGGTACTTTTTTTACCCATCAGATTAACAAACTTCAAAAAGTTTCAAAATAAGCAGTGTTGGTGAGGATCAGGAGAAATAAGACACTCCATTGGGAATATAGATTACCTTAACCTCGTGAAGGCAATTTGACAAACTAAGGAATTAATATAATACACTTAAGATCCATGCTGTGCGTTTTTTATTGCACACCAGGTGGTCTTCTAAGCAGTTTTTGTATATTATCCAGTTTTCACAGCAACCCTAAGACAGAGGTACTGTGACAGATGGGGAAACTGTAGCACAGAGTGGCTAAGTGCACCTAAGTAGGAAGTCCAGAGCTGGCACTTGGCTCTAGGCTCCATTCTATTACAATATACTGAATCGCTTCTCGGCCTTTTGGCTAAGATCAAGTGTATTACAATATACTGGCCTTCTCAGTCAAAAGTCTAAAATACAACTACTCTAAGACAGAAATTCCCTTTCTAGGAATATGTTCTACTGGAATATTCACACATGGGTGCAAAGACAGTTGAACAGAGTTATTCACTGCAGCATGGTTTGAAAAACAACCTGAAGGTCCGACAGTAGGAGCCTAATTAAATATCGGTACAACCTTAGCCTGGAAAACTATGCAGCTCTTAGAAAGAATGAGGCTGATCTATATGTCTGCATATTTCTGAGGGATACAGTTATTGATCAATATTTATCAATCTCTGAGATACATAGTGAGGTGAAAAAAGCAAGATGTAGAACAACGTGTGCTGCTAAGGGGGTTAGTAATGAATATAGAGGTACATATACACACATCTTTGCTTGCATGTAGAAAGGTGATCTTCGAACAGATGGGTGCCGAGAGGATCTAGAAAACAGCCATCTCTGGAAGAGAGAGCTCAGTCACATGTGGGAGGGAGGGAGGCTTACCTTCACCTTCTTCCCTTTGGTGCTGTTTGAGTGTTTTCTCTTGTGCCTGCTCTGCCTTTTCAAAACAAACCAAGTTTTTTTAGGTTTGATTTATTTTATTTATTTACCTATTTATTTATTTTTATTTTTTAGGTTTTAAAAAAGGGATCACAGCAGCCGGTGACTATAAAGCACTCCCTACTTTATTATGTGCCCCCACATGCATGTTGTTTTTTCATTTTTTCATTTAAATTCAATTAGCCAATATATAGTACACCATTAGTTTCAGATGTAGTGTTTTAACAAATTATCAGTTGTGTACAACCCCCAGTGCTCATCACCTCACGTGCACTCCTTCATGCCCATCACCCAGTTTTACCCCAGGGGCACCCCCACCACAGTGCTCATACCAGCAGTGTCCATGGTAGCCACACTCTGGAGAGAGCCGAGCTGTCCATTGATAGCTGAATGGATAAAGAAGACGAGATATAGATATACAATGGAATATTACTCAGCCATCAGAAAGCATGAATGCTTACCATTTGCACTGACCTGGCTGGAACTGGAGGGGACTATGTTGAATGAAATAAGTCAATCAGAGAAAGACCATTATCATATGGTTTCACTCATATGTGTAATATAAGAAAGCACATGCATGTTTTTGGGTTTTTTTTTAATCCTCAGTCTTTGAGGAAAGCCTTATTTATTCCTTATTTATTCCTTTCTGGAGAGTTCTTTTACAGACATGAAATACCCTTTCAGAGATGCCCTTCTGGAACAGAGTCTGGACCAGCAGGGCTACTGCAGTGGCGCTTTTGTGATTCTTAGCGAGAGCCAGAGGCCTGGGCAGGGCAGGCCTGTGGGGTTAGCAGTCTCAGCACGAGGGCTCCTCCAGTAATGAAGTCACCCCAACCTGACGGCCAGGCTTTTTTTTTCTTTTTTTAAGATTTGAGAGAGAGTGTGGATGGGGGGAGGGATAGAAGGAGAAGCAGACTCCCTGCCGAGCAGGGAGCCTGAGATGGGACTCGATCCCAGGATCCTGAGATCATGACCTGAGCTGAAGGCAGATGCTTAATGACTGAGCCACCCAGGTACCCCAGCCAGGCTTTTA